GGTCACTTTTTTGAAAAAAGATGATCAATAAATAGTCCCCAACACAAAGTACAATATATTGTGGGTTCCAGAATGAACATGAGGTTCGTGGTGACAGAAGTCTATAGGCAGTAGTGATTTTTGTGGTCCGGTAAATCGAAGCTTCCTGTTTCAGAAATCTCTCCCGGAGTTGATTCACAGACTGGTGTATGGTAAAGATAAGGGGTCTTGTCCCAATCCTTCAAGCTTTCTGATATTTACAGGGAAAGCAGAAGAAAATGGTAAAACAAAGAAGATTGAAAAGAAGTAGCTCATGAAGTAAGAGAAAAACCAGAGTGTAGAGTTTGGGAAAGCATGTGGAAAATTAGCGTGTATTTTATGAAGCAGAAAGTGGATACTGACACTGGTGACAGATAGACTAAAACCAAGGCAGGGTTGGAACTCATCCCTGCCATACTGAATATAACAGTAAGATCGATTCTAAATCCTACCTGCTGGTGAGGATAAGATTTGATAATCCACTGCCAGTCTTTATTGTGGTTGGCTCAGTAATTGGATGGGGTTTGCACCAAAAACCTTTGGAGCAAGGAAGGAGTGGAGCAGGGAAAGGCTAGGAAGCAGAACCATTTCTTCTATGCCCTGAAACTCCTGATGTAATGTTACTGGCACGGCAGTCACCTGATACATATTTGTTGATTGATTACTGCATCAATAGAATCAAGGAATTTGCATATGATAATAGGGCTGAATATTTCACATGACTCATCTGGAAAAATGAAGGGTAAACTGTGTGATTAGTCTATGAAATTTTGAAGGATCCGAACTGAGTGAATGCAAATGTCCTCATTAAATGCTTGATTATTAGTATGTTGAGGAACTCTTTAAACTTGAAAGACCATTGTGAATAAATGAAGGTAATAAGACTAATGATAAAAAGGTTAATACACTTTTGGATGGAAGGTGGCAAGGTAGGCTGGACACATAGGTAGGCTTGAGGAGAGTTGAGATACGTTGATGAATGATAAATCCAGAGTGGAATTGAAGACGATCTAATTCCATACACATTTGGACACAGTCCTATAGCCATTTGAATCCGACATTATGAAACAAAAAAACATCCTCCTATACATTCCTCCTCACTTCCTCTCTTAAGAACATAATGATGTTCTGAATTGACACAGGTGCTGTCAGTTCTCACCTATTTTCAGTCAAGTACAACTATTTAGATGGAGAGCACAACTATTCAAGGACCTTGTAACAAAGAACGCTTCTCCTCTGTTTGGGAAGATTGAGGTTAGAATCAAGGGCCGGGCTTTGGAGTGTACTTAGCCCCAGATCAACTGAACCGAACTGCAGATGAATAAGGAGACATTACAGCCAAATAGCTTTTACCCACAGATGGAAGAATATAGATTTTCCTCCTGGTTGAATGATTTGAATTCCATTGGTAAAAGCATCTCTGATGAAGCGAGGAGGGAGATTATTTCTACTTCTGATCTAAATCTGTGTCCAACTTCTACCACCAAAATGCATCTCCTCCCAATAAAATTCAGCTCATTTTGAAATAGTTTTGCATTAAAAATACCTAACCACTTGTTGAACATAGTATTTTACTGAGCTGACCATTTTCTTTGAACAGAATGATTCAACTATATGTAAAATAGTTACCAAGATAGAGCATAAAATAGTATTTCATATGTTTTTTAGTGTTTTATTAAAAATAAGTTCTATATCTTTACTTTGTAAATTGCTAAAGCACAGGAGAATTCAGTTTCCAAATATCTTCAGTAGGGGTTTAAATATACATTTTATTTAGATAATTTAACACACAACTGTTTTGTGATATTTAATAGCTGCATAGATATAAACCATGTCTATGTTAACAACTACTCTTGCTAAAAAGCATTTTGTGCCAAAATTGTTTCATTCAAACCCACTTTTAGAGCCCAGGTACGTTTATAAAAAATACGATTAAAATACAAAAAACTTCAGTTGGCTTTACAATTCTTAAAAAAAAAGTTAGGACTATAATTCTGAGCCAATAAGTGTGAATAACTTCTATTCTCTAGAGTTATCCACAGTAATAGATTCAGTCAAAGACGGTTAATTGCTAGTATTTTATTTGACCTGACAGTATAGCCAATGTTTTTTTGCTATCCAGTGTCAATGTGCCAGCACCCCCTGGTGGGCATTGTTAAAAGTAAAATTTAGTTCCACTGATAAGAAAGGTTAAAGGTGTTCCCTGGTATTAGGTTTGTTGTATTGCGATGCATTTGCACAACCTGGATAGCTTTGCATGTCTGAGTGAATATTGTCAAAAGACTATTATGTGACTACAAAAACCTGAGTTAGGATGCCACCAGCTATCATTGCCCTGAAATATCTTTGTATTTAAAAAGTTCACAAGTGCATTTTTATATTTAAGTATGTGTGTGTGTGTGTGTGTGTGTGTGTGTGTGTGTGTGTGTGTGTTTGTGTATATAAAGGAATGTCAGCTATTCATTTTTTGTGTTTGTTCGACTAACACTTATTACTTAGAAATGTGCTGTGTATACCTGCATTTACAACCAGGGCTTTGACTCTTTCCTGGGGTTATTGTGGTAGAGAAAAAACAAACAAACAAAAAAAAAACGTGATTTCTGCATGAGATTGATTTTATTTGACCGCTAATTCTCTCAATTATTAGCATTGTGATTTAGAGAAAATTACTTACCATTTTTATTTATTTTTCTTTTATTTTAAAGAAAGAGAGTGTAAGCAGACTGGAGGGACAGAGGGAGAGGGAAAGAATCTGAAGCAGGCTCCACGCTCAGTACAGAACCCGATGTGGGGCTTGATCCCACGACCCTGGGATCATAACCTGAGCCAAATCAAGAGTTGGAAGCTCAACCGACTGAGCCACCCAGGCACCCCACTAACTCTTTTGAACATAATTTTCTTCATCTATAAAACAAGGGTAAAAATACACATCGACTGCTGCAAAGTAGAAATGGTCAAGCCTCTCCTGAATATTTTAGGCAGCTTTTTCCTGGAGTTTTGCGGCATCTGTACTTAACAATACACATCTTTTAAATGCATAAACACCTACGTGTTTTTATTACTAAACATCAACAATGATGTAAAAAAACTAAGGAATTCTAAGCATCAAAATGATGCTTTATGCTAAAATAAATACAAAGTAAACAGCTGGATATTTATCTTGATAGAAATATATTATATATTTTTTTGGGGTTATCCAAAGGTAACTGATATAAGTTAATTATTGAGGGTTTTACAATAAATGTGTATCGACTGATAGAATGTTCAGGAGCTCTAAAAATAGCCAAATCAAGAGCTAGAGCTTATTTGTGAAATGACATTAAGCTTGGCAGGGCTTATATAAATGCTTTTCTGTGAAATTATTTATAGATGTGAAAGAAAATCCCTTTAAAATTCATTCCCGAAATATTAGACTATCTCTATATGTGTAACTAGTTCTGCAAATCCTGTCTGAATTAACAGATGATTTAAAACGTTACAGTAAAATGTAAAGTAAAATTATACAGAAGCATTTAAGAATACTGGGCAAGTTTCCTGATAGCAAGGTTTTGAGAAGGATTGTTGAATGCCCCAGAAAGTTAGAACAGAAAGAGTGTGAGGCACAAAATATGCAAAGAATGCCAAACACAAAAAGTACACATGGAAAGCAAGCTCCATTTTTTTGCAGTTATGCTCCGTGCTAGCTGGAAGCTATCTGGAACCGTGTTTTGGTGAATGCACTTTAGAATTTCTTGGTTTCATGCTTTTGAAACAATCTGGTTTCTGGTTCGTTGAGCAAAGTAGATCTTCTCTGACCACAATGGTCTGTGGTAAAGGTTTTCTCCAGTGGATTCCAATGCTCATTCCCATTGGCTATGTTCTTAATTTACTGTATGTGACATGGTGTATTTACATATATTTTAATGCTTCTATTCTTTCCTCACCACAAGATGGGAATAGACATTTTTCCTGGGCATAGACATGTTTTTTTTTCCTTTTAATGTCACATGTTATAGATAAGCAGGTCAGGTTTTCCAATAAATATGCAATTGTTCTAAGGTAGAGTTTCCCAAATATGTATGGCCATAAAACCACTTGGAATGGTGTGAATAAATAGAGATTTTTTTAATTTACCCCAGAAAACTGAGTCATAATTTTCCTTTGAAAGTGTTTAGAAATCTATATTTACAGGAAATAACCAAACTTATTCTTATGTTACTTGAACATTAAGTCTCTTCTGGGGCAGCTGGGTGGTTCAGTTGGTTGAGTGTCTGACTTTGGCTTAGGTCATGATCTCGTGGTCTGTGGGTTGGAGCCCCGCATTAGGCTCTGTGCTGACAGGTCAGAGCCTGGGGCTTGCTTCAGATTCTCTCCCTCTCTCTCTGCCCCTCCCCCACTAGTGCTCTGTCTCTCTTTCTCTCAAAAATGAATACACGTTAAAAAATTAAAACAAAAAAAAAACCATTAGGTCTCTTCAATTCATTTGATTCAGAACAAATTTGCATAAAGGGAATGTAAGCAAAGGGAACATATAAAGCAATGTAAACACATAAAAAGATACTAGAAGTTATTTAGCAAATAGTGAAATCATACTGGTCATCTCTTTCCTATAACTTTAAATATCATTGTTCATTCTTTAGGGTAATGAAACGGACTTTTTTTTTGGCCCCCAATTTGATGTAGGTTTTATGTAGGAAATGACAAACATAATAATTCACCTTTCTTTCTTTCATCTTATTTTATTTTTGGCTGAGAGAAAATTTCCTACTGGAGTGAGAAATCACTAAGATGTTTGCGGTTTTGAATTTGTTAAATTTAGGTAAATGGGTATCCTGATCCATAAAGATAGATAGATAGATAGATAGATAGATAGATAGATAGATAGATAAGATAGATAGAGAAAAGGTCTGTTAGCAAATGTATGAGTTTACAATTGCTATGTCACAAATTGCCATAAATTTAGTGCCTTCAAATGAAAAAAACCACATTATCTTACCGATTTGTTGGGTGAGAATTCCATCAGATTTTAACCAGGTCCCCTACTGAGTGTCTTACATACTTGAAGTCAAGGTGTCAGCCAACTGAGCACCCATGTGGAGTCCCGACTAAGGTCAGATGTATTGCTAAGCTCCCTCTGGTTTTTGACAGGATTTGCTTCCCTATGGTAATAGATGATGGTCCCTACTATCTTGCTGGCTAACAACCAGGGACCACTCCGTTGGCTCCTCCACACCACTCCCAGGTCCCAGCCATATGGCCTTCTCCATCTGATATCAGCAACAGAGAATTTCTTTTATGTCGTTCCTTCTTACTTTTCAAGTCTCTCAGGTTCCTTTTTTACTACCAGCCGGAGAAATCTCTGCTCTTAAAGGGCTCGTGTGATTACATCCATCTCTCTCAAATAATCTCCATATTTAAAGTCAGTTTATTCGAGACTTGAATTATATCTGCAAAATTCCATCACAGGAATTATGCAGAAGAGGATTTGAGAATGGACATCTTGGGATGCCATTTGACAGTTCTGTGTACCAGCAGCTAACACCCGAAGCACTTTTTTTTTCGCATGCAAATAATCTGAACAGATGTCACAATGTCTAGCCCTAGAGTTTTACTGGACTTTCACAGTTTGTATTAGAGTCAAAATAAAAAAAAAAAAAACAATAGTTCTCAAGAACACTCAAGGATCTCAGTGCCATGTTGGATGAAGAGCCACTTCTACCCAGAGTTTTGGAAACTTTTCTGGCCAAGGATCCCTTTGAGGACCTAATAGAAGATTGGAATTGATTCCCTACCTCTCCAAATGTATACGTACATTTCAGGGCTTTTAGGATCCCAAATTAATAATTTGTGTTCTATGTCAAAGGGAAGAAAAAGTGAAATTAATCAATATATATAAGCATCTGAGAAAGTACTATCAAAGAGGAAGTGGGAAAATAACTTAATTGGAGAAGTTTAGAAAAATAGAGGAGGAATTAGATGAAAATAATAAAAATGGAGAAAAAAAATATAAATGGTAGAGTAGGTCTTTATGTGGTTGGAGGCACCAATTCATGATCCGGTACCAGAAATTACATGTTCCTGCTTCAGTACATGATGGATTTAAAGTTGAGTTATTGGAAAATGTGCAGCAGTTTGAAAGCTTTTATTGATAATTTAAGCCGGCATCTTTCTGTGTTTCACTTTCCATATATAAAACATGAGATCTACTTTCTGAAACTTCTGTGATAATTGGATGATTAAGTGCCTAGCATGTTGTTTGGCTCATTGGAAGTTCTTTACAAATATACATTTCCTTTTAGTTTCCCAAAAGGCTAAGTGCTGGCTAGTACTCGTCCTGGAATTTTATGATTTCTCTGTCTTTCCTTTGAGTTGAATGCCTATCTCCAGAAGTTGCCACCCTAATGCCTCCAAGAGAGGTTCCACCGATTATCAGTAAAATTCACATCTTATTTTGAAGTAGTTTCTTTTCCTTTTTAAGGGCTGTGGAAAAGTAGAAAATGTCATCTGGAAGACTAGGTAAGGGAGAAGATAGAAACCATGTCAAAGAGGTTAGTCTGCAGTCACGTGTGGAGAGTCTGGCAGTTGGGTATCTGGATGGGTCCGAATGAGGGCCTCTGAGGGCATATGTCACCTACTTTATGACTGAGCTCAGGGCCTTCCCTATCTGCTTTGGTCGAAACAAATGCAACCATGTGCACGATTTAGTTACTCTTTTTCTCAACTATAGTTTGTGCACTTCTTTCAGTAATTCCAAATGCATTTATTTGGCTATTTCTTTCATCAAAAAAAGAAGCAGACAAAAAGACATGAAGTTATATCCTTGGGAATTGGGGTTTAGAAAATGCTGATCAGCTAATGTTAACATAAGACTAGACTCACTAGAGGACTAGTTCCAGTGAAACATATATTTTAATCTAGTTCTCTTAGAAGCTTTTTTTTTTTTTTTCTAGCAACAACAGCAACAGATCCCTAAAATAAAACAAAACAAAACACTGACTTACAAAGATTATTCGAATCATTCGAATCCGTTGCCAGTTCCTAATGACTTTGTCACCTTTGGGACAGACTTTGTAGTTAGCTGAATCTGTACTCACAATTTTTTTTTTAAAGGAGAAAACAAAAGACTGCATTTAGCCTAACAAGAGACGATCTATTGAGAGAGAAAAATGAGTTAAATCTTCCTTTATTTGCAAATGAGTTTATGTGCCCATTTGGAGACTCTCTTTTTTTTTTTTTTCTTCTGTTCCTACCTTACCACTTAATGTGTAGCTGTAATTTATCACACCCTTATGACCCAAAGGAATTACGACACTTTGGGAAGTACCTGAACCAAACACAGAAGACAGCTTGTTCATCTGAAAGAATCACAGGATCTGGTTCTCTGTTTGTAAAACACTTGGGCTCTAAGTGCTGAATTTTCTCATTATGACCAAACGAAATAAAATAGAATATCATGTGGAATGAAAACAGGGGAATGTGCTGCAGGAGTAGATCAGATATCCTCAGTGGATGGCTAGTGGCTGCCACCTCCAAGGTCTACACAGGAAGATTTTCTTTCTTTCTCCCAAGACATAAAATGGCAGGCCCAGGATGTGTGTTAATATGTAACAGTGATTATCTTACTTCATTGCTCTGCGGCAAATGCATGCCTGGTTTGTGGAAAGTTGAAAATTAAATACAGACATCAGAAGGATGGGGGTGGAAGGGATTTGTTAGGTGTTTGCACTGAGATACTAAAGAACTCCCATTAAGTTACATGTTGTAATAATTAAAACACTGCTTTGAATTGGTTACAAAACTTAAGCAGATCCAGAGAAACTACAGGGGGAATTAAGGCCTAATTACATTAAAGTACTGAAGATCAATTTCTCATGGGTTGGTAGCTTCATGTTATTGTTTCTTTAAAACAGGAAGGCAAATATTATAAGGAAATATCAAAGGACGCTTTTTCCAGGGCTCTGCATTATTCATTAGTATTAAGCATTTTTGTAATAGAGTTTAATTTAGTTAGCTTATCTTTATTTTAGTAATACATACTGTACCCACTGTGAAGTTTGCTGCTCTTAACAACACAATGTCAAAAGACGTTTATTTATTTAAAACATCAGTGTAGAAGTGTGCACGACTGGATTTCAAAACTGTATTTTCCAACTCTGAATGGAGATGATATGCATGTATGAGGAGTAAAATTCAATCAGTAAGCATTTATTTTTATCCTTTTATTTTCTCCCCGAGGAATAACACTGATATTTGATTAGATCAACCATGTTAGCAACCCCCATGCTTCGAAATGAAGAGAACTTTCAGTTAACATCCTTGTGGGTCTGGGTTAATTTCTCCTACATGGGAGAGGAAGACTGTGAGGCTGACCCCCATGCCGAGCCCCACATTAGCACTTACATATTGTGACGTTATTTCGTGTGCTCTGTCATGCTCTGGAATTTCTTCCATCCTGTGCATCTTTACTCTTCCTCTAAAATGTTGATCCTACTTTGTCACATAAGAGAGCCAAGGCTTGAGAGTATTTTCTAGAACGATCTGCATTTGTGGCAACTATGACATTTGCATCCGGGCTTTCAACTAGAGGTAATATCATGGAGAAAGGCTCCAACTGCTTACTGCATTGAACAGAAACTCATTGGCCTCTTGAACAGAACCTACATTGTCATGGGCTCCAAGCTAGTGACTGAGCAAGCCAAGAATATTATGGCAAGCTTGTTCCTGAAACACGTAATATACCTCAGATGGCCCCATAGGTCAAGAACTCCTTGATGGCCTTGCCACACCTTCCTTAGTTCGCCATCCACTAGAATTTCACATCTCTCTTTCCCTCTCTTCCTCACTCAGCGTCAGACCTACCCTAGGGTGTGACCGTCGTCCCAATGTTCCACAGCTCTTCTTTATTTCCTTTTCCAGAGGTTTCTCCAAACAAAATCACTGTATGTCGGATGTGAACCTAAAGTCTTTCTCAGAGAAATTGTACTATCATGATCTTTTATTTCATGTTAATACGATACTATGATTTATAGGGCAGAGAGAAAGAAAACAGGAATATTTTCAGGATTTTTTTATAGAATCACTGAATATTTACAGAATTGTGTATCTGCACAAACATAAATGCACCTAATTATGGAAATAAGATTGAGAACGTCCAGTTTTACCTTAGAGTGCCAAATCCTTATTGTGATAGCTTATTTAAAATTAGAAGTGTTTGTGGGTGTCGGGGTGGCTCAGTCAGCTGAGCCACCAACTCTTGATTTGGCCCAGGTCATGATCCCAGGGTCGTGGGATGGAACCCAGTGTTGGGCTCCACTCTGAACCACAGAGCCTGCTTGAGATTCTCTCTTTCTCTCCCTGTCTCTTTCTTTCCTTCTCTCTCTCTCCCCTTGCCTCTCTCCCTCATACATGCTCTCTCTCTGTCTCTCTCTAAAATAAAAAATAAATAAAAAATAAAATTATCAGTGCTTTGTCTCCTACATATCAGACTTAATTAAGCCTGATCTTTTAAGCTATCTAAACATGCTTTCTGGTATATTTAAAGGAGCATTGAATTTAAAGTTTATATCTGAGTTTACAAACAAGGCATGGGTGAGTTGAGTTCCATTATACATCCAGCCTATTCTAATTGTGTTATTTGTTGTGACTTTTCTTTTGTTTACCTGCAACTCAGCAGCCAACCTTCACCAAAGCAAAGGTAACAAAACCCACTAACATAAGAGTTAGAACCATCCCCATTTAATAGGCTTTATTGATATCACTCTGCTCTTCATATAGAAAAACAAAGGTTTTCAGAGTAATGTGGAAAATATGTTTTCCTGCTGAATACTATACAAAATGGTAAGCAAGAGGGAAAAATAGCTTTCAAACTTATTTTACAGGTAAAACTACATTTATAAATATAATTTTATAATGATCAATCCCAAGAGTTACTTAAATAAATTGACTTAAAATATCAGGTAACTCAGAAGCACCTGGGTGGCTCAGTGGGTTAACTGTACAACTTCGGCTCAGGTCATGATCTCACAGTTCATGAGTTCTTTATCTCACTGAATTAAGTTGATTTCATGGAACTGTGGAAACAGCTTAGACTCTCTTTTAGTGCTTTGCAAA